GCAGCCTTGTGTTACTGCTTATTTGCTTACGAAGTCGGCGCAAGTGCACTAGAGCCCGAAGGAGAAGACTGAGGAGATAGCCAGACTATACGGGGCATACCGGGCGGCTACAAAGGCGTTGCAAATCGCCATTACCAACGCCAGGTCTCGGTCCTGGAAAGAGCTTCTGGTGGGACTCAACAAAGATCCCTGGGGGCGCCCATACAGGATGGTGCTGGGTAAGCTCCGGCCCTGGTCGGCCCCTTTGACGGAGACTCTCGATCCGGATCTTCTGGAAAGGGTAATCTGCACGCTCTTTACAGAGGACCGGTCAAGTCCCGAAGGTCACCTGCCGTCTTCATGAGAGTGGCAAGAGGATATGGGGGTGACCGTCGAGGAGCTGGACCAAGCCGTTAGCCACTTAAAATCCCGGAACACAGCACCGGGTCCCGACGGAATCCCGGGCCGGGCCCTAGTGCTGAGTCTGGCTGCCATGGGGAACAGGCTCAGGCAGCTGTTTACCAGCTGTCTGTGGTGTGCTAAATTCCCCACAGCCTAGAACGAGGCAAGGCTGGTCCTCTTGAAGAAGGAGGGCAGGGCCGCAGATTCTTCCTCTGCGTACCACCCCATATGCTTGCTGGACAAGATTGGCAAATTGTTCGAAAGGAAAGTTGCCACTCGGCTGAGCGGGCATCTGTCGCGCGTCGGTCCCGATTTAGCTGACAGCCAGTTTGGTTTCCGCCGGGAGCGTTCCACTGTAGATGCGATTATGCGCGTCCGCTCCCTGACGGAACAAACAGTATCACATGGTGGCGTGGCGTTGGCGATAAGTCTTGATATCGTCAACGCCTTTAACTCTCTACCCTGGGACGCAATCAGGAGGGCACTGGCACATCATCAAGTGCCCCCCTGCCTGCAAGGTATTATTGGGGACTACTTGCACGACAGGTACATTCTGTACATGGGGAAAGATGATAGAAAGATTCGGAGGGAGATGAGACGAGGGATTCCACAGGGCTCGGTGCTGGGTCCACTACTGTGGAACCTCACGTATGATGCGGTTCTGCGAGTCGACCTTCCCGCTGGCATAAATATCGTGTGCTATGCCGACGACACCTTGGTGATCGCCAGCGGGATAACTTTCGAGAGGGCCAAGGAGCTCACCGAACTTGGGGTGGAAGTCGTAGCCAAAATGCATGAGTTGGGTTTAGAAATAGCGCCTCACAAGACCGAGGCCCTATGCACCCGACTTGTGCGTCCGCGTGGGTGAGTCTGAAGTCAGAGTGGGGAGATACATGAAGTACCTAGGCCTCCACCTTGACAGTCGCAGGGGCTTCGAAGAACATTTCGAGCGCCTTATCCCCCGGATCGAAAGGGTGGCGGGTGCTATGCACAGACTGCTGCCCAATCTAGGGGGACCGACGGAGGAAGTACGTCGCCTCTATGCGGGAGTTATACGGACCGTAGCTCTATATGGAGCGCCTGTATGGACAAAAGGGCTGGCCACTCGATGCTGTAGAACTAAAATTTACAGTGTCCAGCGGAAGATGGCCATACGGATCTTACGAGGATACCGCACTATATCCTTTGAGACGATGACAATCCTGACTCGCTTTCCACCACTAGATATAGTGGCGCACTCGACTCGAGGAGCGCTATGAACAAAAATGCGTCATAGGAGCAATCCTGTCGCTTTTCGAAGCCTGGGTGCAGCGACGAGCAGGAAAACTCACCTACAGACTTACACAGATAATTACCGGGCATAGGTGCTTCGGTGATTATCTGTGTAAAATCGGACGCGAGACGACGGCGAACTGCTTCCACTGTAGTGGACGGGACCAGGACTCCGCCTCCCATACGCTCGCAGTATGCCCAGCGTGGGAACGGGAGCGGACAATCCTGGTTAACCGCATTGGATGGAACCTCTCCCTGCCAGCAGTCGTATCGGCGATGCTGAGCGGGGATTCGGCGTGGAGGGCCGTAGCCACCTTCTGTGAATCTGTTATGATTCAGAAGGAGGCTTCTGAGCGGGATCGGGAGAGGGTGGATCACGCGCGGAGACGACGTCGCCAAGGCGTTCGTCACGGCCCTCCTCATGAAAACGGTGTTTCCCTACCAGAAACGGGGCCTCCGGGGTTGCAGACGCTCGGGGCGGGGCCTCGAACGTCTAGTTATGTAACCGCCAAGGAGGACGATTACTCGGAAATGGTCTCGAGACATCGTGATAGCACTGCAAGGGTACTGGGGGCAGCAATTACTGTCCCCGGGACGTGATATAAGCGTAACAAAGCGATGGAGGGGCCCCGGTTGCGTTCCGAACGGAGATCCCGGGACCCCTTGTATACGCCGTGACCACCGTGACCACCGTGGGGTTTTAGCCGGTATGTGTCCGGCATAACCTTTTCGTTGCCCTTGCAGCGGAAGGTATCCATGAGGATTTCCCCACGTAAAAAAAAAAGGTTGAGTTGAGAATTGGGTTTATTGTTGGGTTGAGTGTCCTCCCAACCAAAATTCTGTCACAGCGGCCAGTTTCAACGGAGACTAGCCCTTAGAACTTAGACTAGTACAGAATTATAGTATCCAAAAGTATGCGCAAGCACAGGTGCACTTTCTATTCTCTCACACTCATCAAATCACAATCCGATACGGTCCGAGAGAGCTTAGGCACAGGACCAATAATTTACACATAACTTCATAGCTTCTAATGTCAAAGCCTTAATTCTTCGACACACTTTGTCTTTGCACTGTTTGGACAGGTGAAACCAGGCTTTTTTCTGACTACGACATTAGCTTAATAATAAAAGCGTACGATTTATTTGCATTTATAATATTTGAAAATTAATGTAAAATTCATAATAAAACAAAAAAAGCTACACAAGAAAAGGAGTATAATAAGGCCTATGGTGAAATTTAGTAGGCCTTAATAACCGCCGACTAAGAATTTAAGAAAAAGCAAATTAAAAAAAATTAACCACGACACGTTACTCAAATGTTCAACATCAACAAAGCATTTAATCATAAAGATAAAGATTACGATTTTAGATAGCTAAGTACAATATTATAAAACATATCTACGATTTATTTGGACTGATTTTTATTATTGGTGCAGTCGTATCTTATGATAAATAATGCAACTGTGGAGATAGGACGCGAGGTAGCGCGTCTCTGCAAACTTGTAGAGACATCATCGTGTAATAGGATTTTGTTATTACCTCCTTAAGCGAGTGCTATGATTATAAATATGATTTTTGTTACTTAGGCCTTACTACCCGCAGGCACCTTACATAATTATTGTAGTTGTTACCGTGAGCTTGTGTAGTCCACTCAAAAAACCTATGAAGTACTTAAACTGTATTATTTAAACTTTGTTTTAGAAACTTTTAGTTATTGTAGTTATATAAAATATTGTTGTTTTAAATAAGAAAGGGATAAAGTAAAAGATAAAAGTAATAAGGTTTAGTTTTAATGAAAAATATCAATATCAATTGAGCAGCGAGAGAAATTAATCTCAAAATTTAAAAAAGCTAAATACGAATAATTATTCATTATTGCTCACTTGCATTTTTATCAAAGGTCTGCACTTTTTTCAGACACTTATTATCAACAGTAAATATATTTGTTAATATACTTTACTCATATAAATTAGTTTATACAACAACACACTACCACCGCGCGCACTCATTGGTCAAATCAAATCGCGCGCGCGTCTCGGCTTCACAGATTGTGGGAAAGCGAGAGGAAAGATGTTACACTGCTGCTGTGTATCACTACGTATCACTATTTTATCTGACTTAATGAATAATTGAATGTATTTAAATTTTAATTATGGCATTGACATTGTAAATTATGACATAAGTTACATTAAATAAGTTGACATTTTAAAATCTACTACCACCTATATTTGGTAATTTTAAAAAGTTTGCATGCCTTATCTCATGGGTAAATAGGTCTTTAAGCAACTTCTTTTTATTGTAAAAACCTATCACTTACCCTATTTATAGCAAATAAAGAAATTTGAATTTGAATACATACCAAAAGTTAATTTGAAATTATGAAAAATTTTCAATGTTTTAAATTAAAGTGCCCTGCATTCTATGAAAGGCCAACCAAACAATAAACAACAGCATACTGAACAAGTGAACTGCAAACGCTCGGCATCCCGAGCCGATGTCGCTTCGATCTGGAGGACATTATGTACTCGGCATCCCGAGACGATGACGAGCACATAATGTCCGTCAGTCTCAATGGTGTCAAGTCAGAAAACTATTGAAAGACCTCCATAATAATAATAATATTTACTGTCCTCCAGACCGAATTTCGGTCACAGCGGCCAGCCTTTACGGAGACTAGCCATCGGCGCAGGACAGGCTTATAGTAAAAAGTGTATGCGCAAGCACAGTTGCACTCTCTATTGCCTCACTCTCATAGTCCGTTGCCTCGATTAACAATAATAGTTGATCGAAGGTCCGATGGGATGGTAAACCGACACGACCGGAGAGAGATCAGCCGCAGCACCAACAGCTTCACGTGTTTTCCTAGGCACGGGAGTGAGACACCGCCAACCGCCAACCGCCCAGAGTCAAGAAGACTCAGGGCAGCTACTTATAAATAAATAATTTCTTGATGGAAAAGCTCAATAACTGATTTTTTTGGCCCGACCCGGGATTCAAACCCGGGACCTCGTGATCAGCAGTCGCACTACTACAACAACTAGACCAATGACTACAACACTAGAGAAATCTATCGGCCATGAGATATTTTCAGCATTGCCCATATTCGTTATTCGTCTTTTACGATACGCACAAGACGTAATGAGGTGACGGATTTTCTTACGCCTTTTAAAAACTTTACAATTATTTTAATCCAACATATTGTAATATTATATTATTTATTTGAATTTTAATAACCAACACTATAAACATAAGTATGTAATTTCAATTGTATTGTGAAAGGAAACGCTTGGAAATTTATTTCGAATGGTAGTGGTACAGACGAAGTTGCCCATCGACACAGTGAGCGCTATGACGCCGCGCGCGCTTATCGCCCTCGCGGCGTTTCTTGCTGTCTCTTGCACCGCCAACGATGAACAAAAAGACATCATCTACCAACTCTCTGGTACGGAGTGTATAAGTTTTCTATTTAGTTTTATAAGTTAATAATTACCTAATGTTATGTATACGTATCATTTGTGTTTGATTATCTGTGACAATCGAAAAGTGACAATAGTTTCGCGCGTTTTTATTAAAATGTTAAGTAAAATATTTTTTTTTAATTAATATATTTCGCAAAATTTGTAATAAATTTCAACCTATTTGTTACTAAAATCTACGTTACGTTAAATATGTCAATAGTATAATTTGGATGTAAGTTAATATTACTTAAAATGTATGCAATTTTAAATACATATACGTTCGAATTATAAGATAGATCTCATAAATTTTAATCATATCATAACATATGCAGTAACAAAGGGAAAACTGTGATTTTTTTCTTTTTCGTTTAATTAGCCTATAAAAATTAATAAAACAGTACCTAAAATGCTGAACGCACTTACTCGTAGTATTGTCTTCCTTATTGAGGTTTTCAATTTAACATAATATTATTGTCCTACTCTGTTTATGGAATGATTATCTTTTGAATAGTCTTTGGAATGTAATAAATGCACTAACTCAATACAGCAATAAAAAAAATCTATATAACTAAATTAAGGAAGTGGACATGTTGACAACAAGGATAAAAGAACGAAATATTTTGTTCAATTTTCTTATCAAAATTTGAAAACTTTATGCGTATAATGTATATATTATGTCGTAGGATAATTTGATAAACCGAATTTGCCGCAAAAAATGTAAGGATATCGCGAAAACACGGATAATTAGACAATAGTGGGGCTACTATACTTTGGCGGAGGGAGGACACCCCTTCCTATTAAAGCGATTTTTCTCAGAAATCCAATCATTGTGCTACGTTTATAGCCAACATAGCCAACGATTCTTTTCGCGATCTTTACTAAAGCGAGTGGCATTTTTACAAAAACCCCTACATTTTTTCAATAAGATTGAGAAATGTCTAATTATCCGTGTCTTCGCGATATTCCTAGATTTTTGCGGAAAATTCGGTTTATCAAATTATCCTATGACATATATAAGGTGATGAATTAGGTAACAAACTTATGTCTGAAGTTGAGTCTTTGCTGAACAAAGTCTCCGATTGGTGGGACTAAATCTAGTCCAGTTTAATCCTCAGAAGACACAAGTTTGCGGGTTTACCGCTAAAAAGAACCCCTTTGTCGTGTCTCCTCACTTTCAAGGCACTTCCCTTCTTGCCTCGCCAGTATCGTAGTCGTGGTCACTTGGAAGAAAACGCCACATTGGCCTCTAAAAAGCTTAGCATACTCAGCAGAGCGGGACAGTTTCTCATACCGGCACACCGCCTGCAACTTTACAAGGCGCATGTTCGGCCTCACATGGAATACTGTTCCCATCTTTGGGCTGGGGCTCTCCAGTGCCAGCTCCTTCCACTTGACCGTATCCAGCGCAGAGCGGCTCGAATCGTCGACGACCGGCTCGATTCACTGGCGCTGCGAATACATGTTGCATCTCTTTGCGTATTTTATCGCATCTACCACGGGGAGTGATCTGAGGAATTGTTCGAACTAATTCCAGCCGCTCAATTTCACCATTACACATCGCGGCAAATCTCGCAATACCATCCGTACCATCTGATTGACTGGCGGTCCACCATTGTGCGATTTAGAAGAAGTTTTCTTCCTCGCACAACTTCCTTGTGGAATCGATATCCACCAGCGATTTCCGGACCGATTCAACTTAGGCCGTTGGTCGGCCTTTTAAAAGGGACCTTCCTTTTTAAAAGGCCGACAACGCATCTGCAATTCTCCTGGTGTTGCAGTTGTTCATCGGCGGCGGTAGCCACTTACCATCAGGTGAGCCGCATGCTCGTTTGCCCCCTCTCCTATAAAAAAATAACACCTATGAATTTTTAGGGTTTCGTACCCAAAGCGTAACGTAGGGTCCCGTTGCCCTATTACTAAGCCTCCGCTATCCGTCCGTCCGACCGGCCGTCTGTCGGTCCGTATATGTCAGCGGGCCGTATCTCATGATCCGTAATAGGTAGACAGTTGAGATTTTCAGAATGTTTCAGAATGTGTATTTCTGTTGCCAATATTGTTATATTGGCAACAGAAATAAAATAAATTATAAATTAAAGAGGGCTCCCCTAATAGAAACGTGTTTTTCGATGGCACGGAACCCTTAATGCGCGAGTCCGCTCCCACTTGGACGGCTTTTTTGTTTTCAAGGTGCATATTTTTTTTCCTTTATTTTTTTTCTTTGCCACCGAGCATGTGGTTAATATTGTATAAGTACATTACAGTACAGTTCAGTAGTGCCGGCACCATACAAGGTATTAATATTCTGTGTATTGAGAAGCCTAGGTCTAGCAGTAGGCTTTTGATAATATCCACCGAATTCCGGTCAATCTCAACAGACTAGCAAACAGAGAGTAGTCATCTCCGTAAGAAGAATTATTATGCCTGAGTGTATGCGCGAGCACAAATGCACTCTTTATTTCCTCCGATGTGAAGGTAAACCGACACGACCAGAAAGAAATCAAGCGCAGGACCAACAGCTTTACGTGTTTTCTGAGACATGGGATAAAACACCACCAACCTCCTGACTTCGAGCTACTAATGAGATTCTTGACAGATAACTGAAAAACCTAATAACTGATAACGCACCGACCCGTTCCGTATTCAAATCCGGGTGTCATTTGGTGTAGAATAGAGCATTGATATATCTAGGTTATTAAATTCAATCACGTATATTATGCATAAAATGATATGCAGTGGCGTGGCAAAGGCACCCTCTCCACCACCCTGGTAGAGAGGGTGGATGGCCAGGGATGCATTTTGGTAATGAAAATCTGCTAAAAAACTCTGATAGCTGAATCTAAATACTTTTGTACCAATTCTTAACGACACTATCATGGTAGGTTCGGATAATTTTCTGTGATTTAAATTCAGTTCGAATAGTTTAAAAATTCAAGGTTGGTCCGAAATAGATTTGGAGAAAAAATTTCACCCCAAGGGTAGCCAATAAATTACCATTTTGATTTCTTATACTTACGCGAACACTACACATTTAAATAAAACAAGATTTTACGGATTTTATAGCGTATAATTAACTTATTTTAGTCATGTATATTAGGGTATGATGGGACTGACATACGCTAAGCGGTAAATGTCCCTTAAATTATAATAGAAAAAAAATTAACTTATTTTATATTCCCGACGTTTCGAGCACTTTATAGTACCCATGGTCACGGGGGGACTGTAGTGCTGGACGTCGCAATGTCATAGTTAACCACGGCTACCTCCGGTTTAAAATTATTAATTTTTGTTCCGATCTACGCAGTATGAACTTACAGTATCTTGAAGTCTTGCAGTTGTATGCTTGGGTTAGGATTTCATTTTATTAATTATAGGAATTGCGAATCATCCTTGGAAGGAATCGGTGTTAAAGAGGAGAGAGAAAAGATGGCTGGGTGCTACCATCTGCTTGGGATCCTTTTGCGTACTCGAAACATCGGGAATATAAAATAAGTTAATATACGTGATAAAATCTGTAAAAACTAGTTTTATTTAAAAAGGTTTTTACTTTTTGTTAGTAGTTGTAATTATATTACTAAGATAATTCAAAAATCAGGAAGTTTAGGGGCGGGATTTTTTCTCTAAATGCCATATAAGGCAGCTTTCCAAAAAAAAATTGGGAAATTAAAAAATTCGATGCCGCTATACTCGCCCTATAGCACTACACTTCAGTTATGATATACAGAGGTGTGTATCTGTGTATCTGTATGTCTGTCTATTACACCATAGCTTCCGAACGGATGAACCGATTTTGATTAAGTTTCTTTCGTTTCAAGATAATCTGTTCAGCCGTTCATCATCAGCTCTCTTTACTTCGCGAATATTTTTTTTAATTTAAGTTATTTGGAACAAAAGTTTGTGTAATATACAGCTCAGTAACGTTGTGGCTAAGTGTTCGGATGCGGCGCTGCAGGCAGTGGGTTCGATTATTAAAAAAAACGCAAAAATAAATGCTTAACCTAGTTACAGAAGAAAGTTTTTTTTTTGTTTATTATAAGTGATATTCACCTAATGAGTGCAACCTGTTGGCTTTGAATCCTTCGTTCGATTTCAAGTTTATTAGGAATGGTTCACAACAGCACACAATCACATGAGTAAATACAGTACGGTTTCTTTACTCAAGTAACACAATCATTAATATTAGCAATTTTAATAATCATCATTACAGCCCTTCACGAGTTCAATACTGATCATAGGCCTCACCCATAGAACTGCTCATTGCGACTTTAACTTGTTTATCCGTTAAATGCTATTTAGAAGTTACGTAAACAGTGGATCCAGCTAATATTAGACTCAAATTATTTGAGATTTTTTCCCACTCATAATTAAAACGTACTCACTGTCCCTTAGAACTACAGTTATATATAGTTGACACGTAGAAGTAGAGCCATGACAGCTCAGGGGTAAGCGCTCGGTGTGATCATTTGTGAAAAAATTGAGAAGAGGAGGTCCATCACAAATACAGGGAAAATCAATAGACAATAACTTTTTTTATAGGATAAGGGTGACAAACGAGCACACAGTCCACCTGATGGTAAGTGGTCGCTGCGGCCCATAGACATCTACATCTACCCTCGTTTGCGTATCAAAATGCAGATGCGTTGTCACCCGTGAGGACTAAGATGGAATGGTGGTCCTTCCCCGAACGAGCCGACCCATTCGTGCTACAACTATACTACTAATATAGCTGTACCATGGCTCTACCACGTATAAAAGCCTAAAGGTCTAGCCGCGATCTTAATTTATGCCCAAAAACTAGGTGAGCTGGTGATGAACCTGTGGTAGAATGAATCGAATTACGATAATTGAAAAGATATTGTAGAATACTTATTTTACATTCGTTTGAAAAAAATGGAATGCCTCATTTCCAGTAAAAAGGGCCTCCGGCCACCTGCACTTACCAAGCGAAACACAGAGGTAAATCTCTACTTCACGCTGGTATTCTGTGAGGTCGTGGTACCACCCCGGTTCGAGCCGGCCCATCCGTGCGACAGCAATTCTGCCGCGTGGCTCTACCACTGCTAGAACTTAAATTGAACTTAAATTGAAAATTTTAAAAATCCCCGAAATAACCCCACCGCAGCTAATAAAACAATGACAAACAGACCTTGAAACGGCTGAACCGATCCTGATAACGTGTCTAACAACCACCGCTAGAAAATCTGCTTTTAAGTAAAAAAATTGCAACCAAATCGGTTCACCCGTTTAAGAGCTACCACAGACAGACACACAGACAGACAGACACACATAGCAGTCAAACTTATAACAATATAAAAAAAGGAAATTAAAATAACAGCCTATATAACCCCCCACTGCTCCGCACAAGACTACTGTCATGTTTTAGAGGGGTTTACTTATAGATGACCTAAACGTAATACGCTTGCGTGTCTAGTTTCACACGTCCTTGAAATCTCTTGCTTATCTCATATATTAAAACAAAGTCTGTACGCTTAGATCTTTTAAGCTACGTAACGGATTTTGATGCAGTTTCCATGAATAGACACAATAATTCAAGAAAAAAGTTTATATGTGTAATATATGTATATTTTATATTATATAATTCTTCTGTATTTGTATATGTGACTGAACTCCTCCTAACCGGCTGTAGCGATTTTGATGAAATTTTGTGTGTGTGTGTTAATGGGAACTATTAACTTAATCACACACAAAATTTTACACACAAAAAAATTCATCAAATTCGGTCTAGCCATTTTCGACTTTTTGCGAGACTAACGAACAGCAATAAATTTTTATATATATAGAAATTATGTTTATTAATTAGTGGTGTAACTGAACTCTCGATGCACATGACCCCGCTCAGGGATGCAACGCAACAGGGAGGCTATTATCGTATCGATTAATAGTTGTACAGGAAACTGGAAGATAAGACCCATTGTTTTCGTTTGGACGATCTTTTTTTTTTTGTTTTTTGTTTTGTTGTTTTATTATTTGTCTCATGTGCGGTGTTTGTTGTCTTGCTTTGTATATGAAAATTTCGAATTAAAGTATATTTACAATGTATTTGGCTTTGTGTCCCTGTACAAGTTACGATGGCTGCAGTACAAATGCCTTGAAGTTTTGAAACAGCCACTCTACAGCCCAGGTTTAGCGATTAGTATTTATTTGCAAAAATCAAGATAGAGTTTCAAGATAATTCGCCACTGCAAAAATCAAAATTAAAATATCTCTATTCAAAATTCGCTTTTTTATAAAGAAGTTTTTGAGTCAAGAAAGCCACGCTATTGCTTTAATAAGTCCTTACTGAAGGAGATCACGTGAGAAGAAGCAACAAGAAACTCAAAATAAGACGTTTTTTCTCACAGCACCACGAAATAAATAATATTACAAGCCAACAATTACAATAAAAAGCCTGAGGAAGCTCATTACGTACACTGATTTCTATTTTTTTAAACAATGAGTGATATTGGTATAGTCTGCTAGCCATAAATACCCTAGGCTGGGTCTAAAGTCAGTCACTGGGTTCTGTGAAGAAATTCTTAGTAACAGTAAGGAGTCAGGAAGCCGGCGTGTTTTACCCCCGGGCCTCAAAATGCACGAAAGCCGTTTGTATTGCACCTACTCTCTTCGGCCGTGTCGGATTGGCGTCCCCTCGGGCTATAAGAGTGAAGAAATAGAGAGTGCACCTGTGCTTGCACATAATAATAAAGCCCTTTTATTCCGAACTACAATCAGTTTAACATTTTTGATTTTATGAATTTTATTTCTTATAATATATCTCGTAATTCGGCGTGCCTCTTGGCATAGGCCTCCTCCAGCTCTCTCCATTGAGCTTGCAACTCTGGTCCAGTATGGTCCTAGGGTTAAGCGCATATCGTCACTCCATTTTCGGACGCCTTTGTCTTCTGACGTTCCCTCTTGGATATCATAAGGTTACTTGTTTGCTCCATTTATTTATTTTGCAACGTAACATATGTCCTGTCGAACTCCATTTTAGGTGGTCTGTACGGGTTATTATATCTGTTATTTTTGTCTTCCTTCTTATTTCCACATTTCGGATTCTGTCACTAAGCCTGATTCTCAACATGTGCTGGCACATACTCGAGCAGTATAATCGTGTCCTGTGCATATGCCTAGTCTCTGTTGAGACTGATCGCCGTGGCTCCGATTCGGCCTGGATGATTCGGGCGACCGCGTTTCACTAGGCCTTAAAAAAACTCACGGATGACACCAAATCTGATCTTATTCATAATATTCTTTTGGCCATAAAACTGTATTTCAAATAAGTTAACTCATGAATTTATTTCAGAGGAACAGTACTATGAAATGCCGCAACTCTTCCACCTCGATGAGTACAATGGCTGCCTGGCGACGCACAACGTCTACTGCCTTGGTAGTTTCGAGCTCTCCGCAGACGCCAACAACAAATTGTTCCAGACCATGCAGGTAAAAGATATGTTTCTATCACTGATTTATAGATAATACAATAATAAAGCCTCTTCTCATTTTTGAGAAAATTTTTGAACAACCTTCCACCTCCCATGGCCACACTAACCTCGTTATGTCGGTCGAATTTCGCGATATGCACGCGGTACCTACTTGTTAGTCTTTTTCCCGCGTGCGCTTTCTTGACTTTCCACAATTGATTTCGTGTATTCCTTGTCCTAAATTTACATCACTACTCCTCCTTCTGGGCCTGACGACACACTGACGCCTAAATCATCGGGCTTTTCTTCCTCCAATCACTCGAATCTGCTTTCTCTCTCACGCCAAAGGTGCTTGAACTCCTGTAGCTTAGAAAAGTTCTACCTTGAACTTTTACAAGGGAGATTTTTAGAATAATAAATAGTCCGCTTCGCCGCTTCAACATGTGTTGCCAGAATTCATATGATTGTGATTGTGACACGTTCCTTACGATGTCATCACCGAACACGTGGTAAATCGGCACTTAAACTTGTAATTTCAATGGCACCACGCCGGTGAGAATCAAGTTCGTTTTAATCACGTAAAGTGAAATATTAAGGTGGTGCTTATCCCTGCGGCTTCACGATCAAAACTCTGTCAGGAATGAGAAGAAGTAAACAGCAGTAAAAGTAAAACAGCATATTTAGGTCTCACTACTGGACACAGAGCACTGAAACGTACGAGTATATGCTGTTTTACTTTTTCCTTTATAATAATTAGAAAATAAAATCAATAGTTATGCTCTTGTCTTTGGTATTTCTTCTTGGATGTACCATACAGTAGCTGCATAAGAAAACCCTAGGCGACAGAGTGGAATGAAAAATTTAAATTTTGTACTAAATTTTGTCTGACTTCAATATAAATTATTTAGAATAACTCAAAAACTATTCGTCAGATCTTAATCAAATTTATATTGGAACACATGTGAAGTACCAGCTTTCAAATAAAAAAAGAATCATCGAAATCGGTACACCCAGTAAAAAGGACACATAAAAAAATATACAGTCGAATTGAGTATCGTCTCCTTTTTGAAGTTGGTAGAAAAGGTAGCAGCATCTACCGGCGAAAAACTCAAAATTGTAAAAAACAGCTGTTATCAATCAGCCTCTCAAGCGTTGCAACTATGGCAAATACCCCTCTAAGAGGCAATATATGGTAGGCAATTATTTAACACAGTAAACTTTTGACATGCTATAATCATGTAATATTCCGATGAACCGATCCGTCAGTTTGAGCGAGATCAGAATGCCTCTCCAGCACCTTAAAAACGTCAAGGCTACGGGCGAGGATGAAATTACAGCGGAGCTTAAGCGAATGGAATACCGGTACTTAAAGTCCTTTAGAAACTCTTTAATTCTGTCTTCCATGGTACCACTACCCCGGAGGCGTGGAACAGATGTGCGTTGATCTTGTTCTTTAAGAAAGTCACGCTATTGAAGAACTACAGACTGATTCCCATTTTATAGAGACGCGTATACGTGCTGTTTTGGAGAGTCATTATATATAACACTTAATACCATATATATATGGTATTAAGTGTTATATCATCATTATCATCATTACAGCCCTTCACAAGTCCACTGCTGAACATAGGCCTCCCCCAAAGAATGCCACAAAGCACGGTCCTGAGCCACCTGCATCCATCGACTTCCTGCATATCTTACCAGGTCGTCACTCCATCTAGTGGGGGGACGCCCTACACTTCGCCTGCCGGTACGAGGCTGCCACTCGAGAACCTTTCTTCCCCATCGGTTGTCGGTTCTTCGAGCTATATGGCCGGCCCATTGCCACTTCAGCTTACTAATCCGATGGGCTATGTCGGTCACTCTGATTCTACTGCGGATATCCTCATTTCTGAGTTTATCACGCAGAGACACTCCGAGCATAGCCCTCTGAGTAGAGTACCATAGCTCGCTGAGTGACCTTGAGCTTCCTTATCGGGCCAGCAGTGAAGGACCACGTCTCAATTCCGTATGTCATCACTGGCAACACGCACTGGGTGTACAGTCTCGTTTTCAAGTTTTGAGGTATACCTGACGAGAAGATGTGCCGTAATTTCCCGAACGCTGCCCAACCGAGTTGAATCCGTCGATTGACCTCTCGGTCGAAGTTGGACTTACCTAGTCGGACTATTTGTCCCAGGTAAACATACTCGTCAACAACTTCGAGCTTAGTGTTCCAAACAACCACCGGCATAGGTGTGACATGGACATTAAACATGATCTTTGTTTTGTCCATGTTCATCTTAAGACCTATCCGTTGGGAAACACTATTGAGGTCATTGAGCATAGTGCTTAGGTCCTCCAGCGATTCTATGGTGTTATATAGTATATATATATATATATATATATATATATATATATATATATATATATATATATATATATAATACCCGAATAAGAATGTTTCCGAAAAGGCTTTAGTAATATAGACCACGACAAAACTCACACCCTTTGGCTAATTGTACAGAAGACCGAAGAGTACAATCTATTGTCCCTATGACTAGTGTATGTAGATCATAGGAAACCTTTTGATTCCTTCGAATTTTGGGCAGTGCTGCAGTCCCCTCAGCGATGCTAAGTCTACTGTCAGTATATTGAAGTACTGGAGTACTTGTAAAGGGATGGCTATCCAAGTACAATACCAGAGTACGCATTCATTTAAAGACTTTTTCAGCTACTGTATTTAAAGGCACGGTATCAACATCAATTGCTAGTACACAGTGGCGAAGCTAGGGCTCCAAACTAGGGCAAGCCCAAGATATGGTTTTTGTTGTTTTTTCACTGCTGTCGATGACGTGTTTAACAAAGCAACGTGTTTAACAAGGCATACTACTGCTAGATAGATTGTATGACATATCAGCAATTGCATACTTTCGGTGGCTTTGAAAAAAGCCGTTTGAGTTTGATTGAGCGAAAGAAAAAGATATTTATATACAATACAATACATGAACAAAAGAAAAGCATGAACAAAGTACAAACAAACTATGTACAAAATTAAAAAAAATATATTTACATTCTAAATCGAATCGTCTGATTACGTCCACGTAAAATGTTGGTGAAAACATATGCATATATATTTCTCAACAAAGTTTAAAGATTTTACCTTTTCCTCTTTCTCCAGTTCAATTCATCACAAGGAACACTATTATCCTCCATTTTCACTAAAAATCTTTAAAAAAGCATAAATTTTCAACTCGCAATATTCATCCGCTCAAGCAAAAACACAGAGTAAACATTGAAATGTGAAGTGAACTTGCAAACGTATCGTCCACGCGCCCCTAACTTTACACTAAAAGCCGGGTTTTCGGCACCATACTAATTGCTATATAAACAATCGTAGTTATATTTCATTATAGAACATTTTGCCACAGGTTAGAAAGAGGGCGATCGTCTTCTCGAAAGTCTGGTAAAAAGTCCACGCGTGCGAGAGAGACGACTAATCGCTCAACTCAACTGCTTTCTTATGACAGCAGTATCGCGCAGTTTTGTATCTGTGTCAGTATCAGTTTTTTATCTGTTTAGAACAGAGGAGCGCGCGGGAAATTTGAAATATGTAGTTTGAAACAGTTGACGTGTTATTTTATTAGTTGATATTATTGATTGAGCAGTTTGATAGGGCAAGCCCGCCTTCTTGGCTTCTATGGAGGCTTCGCTACCGCTAGTACATTACTTAAGTTCAATTTGTCACCATTATGACTATTGTATACAAATCGAAGTTGAGTGATTATGGCATAATCGCTGAAGGTCGAAGTGTTCCAACGGAATAAAATATTTAAAATGAACGTGGACAAGACAGCGGTCCATGCCACACCTTTTTTTATAGGATAGGGTGACAAACGAGCACACAGTCCACCTGATGTTAAGTGGTTGCTGTGACCCATAAACATCTATATCTATCCTCGTTTGCGAATCAAAATGCAGATGCGTTGTCACCCGTGAGGATTACGATGGAATGCCTCTTTTTCAGTAAAATGGTATCCAGTTCTCTACACTCACCATACAAAACACAGCAGTGTTAAGCTGCTATTTTACGCCGCTATTCTGTGAGATATTATATATATATTTATTAGTTAGAAACACTACACTTGAGGTTGTTGACGAGTATGTTTACACGTACCTACATACAAAACATATCTAGTTGGAAAATAATTTGTCCAACAAGTCCAACTTCGACCGAGAAACTTTGTGTAACTCTATCGATAAACGTCTGAGTGAAGAACTCAAATAAAGTCATAGTAGGGTTATTAACTCGGATTTATTTAACAGCACATGGTTCCTAATACAAAATGAATACATGAAATAATAACAGATATCACAATATTACAGCACATCTTAATCGTACCATTACGTTGAATGTGACGTTGGTCTAATGTGACTGCTGGTCATGAAGTCCCGGTTTTGCATCCCAGGTCGAGCCATTGAGTTTTCTGTCAAGTATCTTTCCATCGTATTTTGAGAAAGAGTGAATAGAGATTACACCTGTTCTTGCACACGCTGGTGCACTATACTCTTGGCCACCTTGTCCAACATTCTGTCTGGAGGACATTATTTATTTTAGCAGCGCGTCACATCGCCAGTCCTTATCAGCATTGTCAGAAGTGGGACAAAGTTTTCAGCCTGATTTTAAATGTCACGCGCGGGACAGATATTATCTACTTTTTGTGAATTTAAAAGCTTTTAGAAAAATTTTCTTCGCAAATATCCGCGTTATAAATAACGCGGATATTTGCGGAGAAAATTTTTCTAAAAGCTTTTATGTAATGGATTTTTGCAAAGTAACGCCTGATTCTATTAATTATTTTTGTGAATTTCACATTGATGCGGAGGCCGTGCGGGCGATACAACGGGATAGGCGACATAATTATTAGCTATCATCACCATAGTTTCGAAATCTCGCTTTGCCTTAAAAATCTAGTATCTACTAGATTTATGTATCTAATAAGAACAAAATATCGCAATAACGCATCTGATAGGAAATAA